AATACCTCACTTACGTATTTTTTGTGACAAGACCTTCCATTAGATACCAATTACCTTGACCTTTTGACCTTGACCATGGAGATTTCCGAACTTATGAAAAACTTTAACCTTGGTCATAACTTTTGAACACAAGGGGCTAGTGCTGTCATACTTCACATATGTAATCCTTGTGAAAAGTCCCTTCACTGGATACCAAGAATTTTGACCTTTGATCTTGACCTTGGAGTCTTACTTACTTTTAAAAAACAAACCTTGACCATAACTAGTGAAGGATTAGTGCTAGTGCTTTCATAATTTTCATATTTAATCCTTGTGACAAGACCTTTCTTTTGATATCAAGAATTTTAACCTCGACCTTGGAGTTTGACCTATTTTTTTCAAATTATTAACCTTGGCCATAACTTGGCCATGTAACCTTGGCCATTGATCTTGACCAAACTCCAAGGTCAATTTTAACCTTGACCTTGGAGTTTGACCTTCTTTTTCAGATTTATAACCTTGGCCATAACTTTTGAACCGTGAGAGATATTGACTTCATATTTGTGAGGCATACTCCATTAATTAAGCTCATTCAAATGACTCCAAGGTTTATGACCTTGTGACTTTGGCTCTGCTTAAGATAGCTTTTTCGAACTTTTGCCATAACTTTTAAACCATAGGAGATAGAGACTTCGTATTTGGTATGCATACATGTACTCGACTGATTATTCTTTCAAATGACACCAAGGTAAATGACCTTGTGACCTTGACTGTGACCTATATGCTATTCGAAAATACATGTAGCTTTTTCGAATTTTGCTGCCGTCGGGCGCATAGTGTTTCACAAACACATTTTGTTTTCATGTATGGTGAAGTAATCATTTAACTAACGATACTGACACAAACACCAAAAATAAAAAAAACAGACTCTTTGAGTTTAAATCACGGCAAATATTGCTTTCACACACAATATTGTTGTAGAAGATAAATTAAATTTATCATATTTTTATGCGCCGGGATCAAAAGATCCGAGGCGTATAATGTTTTTGTTCTGTCTGTTTGTCTGTTTATCTGTTTGTCTGTCTGTTGTCAACCTTAACCTTCGCCATATAACTTTTGAACCATAGGAGATAGAGACTTCATAATTGGTTTGCCTTGTGACCTTGACTGTGACCTATATGCTAAAATAGTTTTTGGAACTTTGTTGCCGCCGGGTGCATAGTGTTTTTGTAATAATTATGGATGCATGTAGTGCACATTTTAACGATTTAGCCGTTTTCTGGTTCGTATCAAATAGAAGAGTCCTACATAGCTGTACTTGTCAATATATTTTACTGCTGTTGTCTATTGCTTCTCGAGAAGACCAAGCATTAAAATCAATGATAAGTAGGGTTCCAAAATGGAATAGGAGTACAGTCGAGTATTTTCATATGTATAGATTCTTAAAGAATAAATTCTTTCTCCTGGGCTTTATTAAAGAATGTTTGTGTTAAAGAGTAAAACAGTATCCAGCCTGTTAATACAAAAAGTGCATAACAAATACAAATATTACTGCGTTGCAAGCCCCAGTCTCATAAAAAGGCCTTCTGTAAACACCTTGCAATAGATGCACTGGAAGTCTTGGAGAGCTGGCACCACACTTCTGACAGGTAAGCAATAGTTACAATTGTCCACATCATCAATAGCGTAAATACCTAACAACACTATTAGTCATGTTATTGAAATAATACGGGTTGGATTTGATATATTTTTCTCTCTCATGATAACCGTATTTTAGATTAAATGTTTATTACAAATTTTAATGAATCATTAGTTCCCCCAGGAAGCATTATCGTAAAGAATTTCAGAAAAGGGACATGCGTGGTCCATCGATTATTAACATAAGCTTATGTACTTTATGTTTTATAATTTTCGACTCTCTATTTTGATTTTGTAATTTTACTTAAAGCTGCCTTAAGTTTAGCGCACTCTTTGAAACATTCAGCACGACATTTAGGCATAATTTAAAAACAGTATATGATTAACCGTATATTGAAAAATACGGAAAGGTAAACATTTTTATTACGTGATACTAGTATGTATTTTGTGTTTTTTAACAAGGTGATTTCATATATCATGTCAAGGTTAACGTCGCAAACTGAATGATCCTTTCTGAGAGAGCTATATAAACGGACTTTGGACCGTGGCTTGAGACAATGGGTTAAGTGATTGTTCCAAGAAAATTAAATTTCCACAAAATTACGACTGACATGCATAACTGGCCAAGAAATGAAAATACATTTGATTGCAATTTTTCAACCAAAAAGAAAAATATGGGATTATGTATGCAGAATTTCAAAGGAATTGACCTATAAGAGAGAAAAAAAGCATTTAAGAAATAAATGTGCGTTAGTTATTTTCTGTTTTTACCCTATGTGATGTTCAATAGCCACAGTAGACTTGGTTCAGAATCACATAGGGTAAGAACAGACTATAGGAATTCTTTTATTCGAGGAGATAAACAATTTCGTCACGGGAGCCATATTTCGAACGGAGATTTCAGTGAATATTTTAATTTTGGGATTTACATGCCTAAACGGTAAGCTATCTAGAAATAATAGTGACAGAGAGTCAAATAAACAACTAAATGACTTGCTGTAAATTCCTAAATACACGCGTGGAATTAATTATCGCGTAATTTCGCGAGAAGCACCACACGCGAAATAAAATTACTCGCCTTTATTATTATGGTGCTGAAATCAATATAAAATCTCTTAACCAACCGTCTCTTCGCCAATAATTATCCTCGCGATTTGCCGTTGAGCCTATTCGCGATAAAAAGTACTCGCGAAAAAAAGTTATCTACAGTAATTGAAGCGAACGGCAGTGTGGTCTAGGTGAATAATTCTTGCTATAGTCGACCGAAGTTGGGACTTAATCTCCAGACATGAATTATGAGTGACTGTCCAGGGATTCTGCGACGGCGTCAGTCCAAATATCTAGCCCAGCAGAATATCAACACTGATTATCAACTAATGGTCAACTGGCCGTCTTATGCAAATCAGTTGAACGCTTTTCAGCATTCAACTCCTATTGGTCAACTGTTTTCGCATTATCAGCTGACGACTAGCTGACTGCTAGTTGACGACTAGTTGACGGTCAACTACACATTTTCGTATGGGTAATCTTGACTTTGTCCTGTTACCCTGGATCGGATTCACGGAAGTCCTCCTGTCCTAAAATAGAAGATACCACAGAGTCTGACACATCTGTTTCATTTTTTGGATCTTCTACATGTACTAGAAAAAGACGTTAATGATTATCTTACAGCAAAGCTTTATGATAAACATGATGACTATAACTTTTTCATAGTCAACCCTAACCCTTCATCTATACCCTTATAGTTAATTCCATACGAGTAACCCTAGGACCCTAACCCTAATTTGATTGGTGGAGGGTAACCCCTAATGGGTCCTAACCCCTGAGTGGAACCCTAACCCTAACTAACCCTAGCCCTAACCCTAACCCTAAACTAACCCTAAACCCCTAACCCTAACCCTAACCCTAGCCCCTAACCCCCTAACCCTAGCCCCTAACCCTAGCCCTAACTAACCCTAACCCTAACCTAACCCTAACCCTAACCCTAACTAGCCCTAACCCTAACCCTAACCCCCTTAGCCCTAACCCTAACTAACCCTAACCCTAACTAACCCTAACCCCCTAACTAACCCTAACCTATTCCCTTAAATACGGGGCGCTTACATTGTGTTTTTTTTTTACATGGGTACGTAGGTACTACGTTTTTTGTTTTTATGCTGACTATACAGGTAAAAATGCGCCGTGTGCAAAAAACATTGCAAGAATGTGATTATGACGTCACGCATTCACAGTCTAGACAGTCCTATAACCGGTTTGAACTGGTTTTAGTGAAAACAAGAACACACAGATTTTGATTTTTATTCAATTTTTATTCACAATGAAAAATACAAAAAATGATTTTAATTTCCACTGTATCGGCATAAGGGACATTTCTGGTAGGAAGTCTCAAAAAGTTTCTTCACACACTTTTCACAACACGGATATTGCCTGCATTGTCCGCATTTCCATTTTCCTTGAGTCTTTTCCTGGTAGCACATCATACATTCTTTCAAGGGTCTGTTCCTAGTCATTTTCATCCATCGGGGAGGCGGTATGTTCTCAATTCCTTTCTCCCGGATGAAATATTTCAGGCACCAGCTACAACCACAAGTCTCCATGGAAGGCTCATCATCTTTAAACCAGTGTGGTAATGGCATTTCACAATGCTCGAAAATCGGATAGACTTTAAAATTCCATCCGGGGCAGGGGTTATACACTGTTAATGACAATATTCCTCGTATTCTGATCACAGTAATGACAGATATATTTTTCTACATCAATCCAATATAGAATTCTCCACACAAAACTCATGATGGATATAATGAGCACAGGGTACTCATACCAGCGCTGGTTTATATAATAGCTCTGGTTTATATACTATAGGAATATTTTAGGGGCCGTGTGCAAAAATACGTTTTACCTACGTTTTCTTATATATACCTGTATGCATCACCTATAAAGTGCCGTGTGCAAAAAACTGAGGGTCGTGTGCAAAAGAAATATACCTTTTACCTACGTTTTCCTTATATTTACCTGTTTGCACCCTCTGTAAAGTGCCGTGTGCAAAAAAACTTACCTATGCATTGTGACGTCATCCACTGTATAAATACAATGTGATTATGACGTCACACTTTTTCATTTACAGTCTAGACAGCCTAGTCTAGCCAGCCTAACCAGTTTGAACTGAATTTTTTACTGAAAGACAATAACAAATAACACACAATACAAAAAACATGTGTGTGTTATGTCTGTCAAGTTATAACACCAGGTCACTTTTTAAAAAAACTTAGAATTTCTTTTTAAATTTTTTAAACTTTTTTTAAAATTAACTTTAAATTTTTTATCTTTTAACTTTTTTAAAATAACTTTAAATTTTTTTTTTCTTATTAATTTTTTTTTTTTGGTAAACTCCCCTTATAGTTTTTAAGAAATAAAATTAAAAAAAATCATGTAATACTACATCAGTGTTATGTTATTGTATGACTTCATCTTTTATACAGTCGGGTTCGGGGTTTCGGGCGGCCATAGCGAATTTCAGCAAGATTTTACCCCAGTGAAAAAGGCTTGTAATCCACAGTGTAGGTCGTTTAAAGTTGTTTCACATTGTTTATGATTGTGATTATGTTATCGCTCACCTATATGTTTAATGTCAGCTATGCTAAATAACCCATTTCTGTGTAATTTGAGAGAATGTTTTGACATGTGGTTAAAGTATGGCGTGCTATTCATGTTATCATTTAAAAAGTCGATCCTAAATAAATCTGTCTTAAAAAATACATTTTACGAATGACATTTAATATGATTGATTAGAGTATAGGTATCCATATATAAGAGATATTATTTTGCATTACATTTAAACATGTTTTTCTGTCCTGTTTGTCTGTCAATTGTTGCTTTACTTCCTTTGTAAAATGAGGTTAAATTGAGTATCACTGAATATTGTATGCTTTTTTTTCAGGATCAGCTAAGATGTTGTTTCACTGGATTATTTAATTGGGCATATAATTGGATAATTCTGGTAAGTTTGTCTTTGTTTTGTTTACATTTCCTAAGGTCATCTTTGCATTCAATCATGATTATGTAAAGTTCTGTTTTGAATGTAAATGTACTGTATTTATCCTCATTTCATGTGATTTACACTTGTACATGTATAACCTGCATGTAACTCAGAGTGCATTTAATATTTCTATGATGGGTCATTCTATGATTGAATTTAAATCAGAAAAATATTCACTAAATTTTGGTAAAATACATGGTATCTTTTACATTTCTGTCCCTTTTGTCTGTAAATTATTGCTTTACTTACATTGTAAAATGAGGTTAATTGTGTATCACTGAATTGTATGATTTTTTTTCAGGATCAGCTGAGATATTATTTCACTGGATTATTTAATGGATAGACTTATTTGGCATATATTTGGATATCTCTGGTAAGTTTGTCTTTGTTTTGTTTACATTTCCTATGATGGTCATATTTGCATTTAAGCATGATTATATGGTTAATTTAATTACTGTGTAATACTTATGTGATCTGTTGTCTCTAACTTACATTCATATAAGCACACCCTTATTTAACCTAAAATATATTAACACATGATTAAGGGATCTTCAGAATATTAATAAGTCCTTTTGTATAAATTATATGATTTAATTTCATAATTCATTATGTATGTTACCCATGGCCATGGAATTCAGACTTACTAAATGGTGATCAAAGAGATATTAATTAGGAATCTAATAAGAGAAAAGGAGGAATTTACAAAAGATTAATCCTAAGTTATTTACTTTTTGTTTTGATTCTAAATATGTGGGATATATGGCATACATATATTTTCATTTTCACTTTTGTTTCTTAGTAATGAGCTTTTCAAAAAATCAAGGACTACATGTTGTACTGTGATGATGCTAAAAAAGATGTATTTTTCTGTATGCAGTACTGACAGATATTAAACAAAATTGAATCTGCTGTTAATAAAAAATCTTTTAGTGTCTAAATAATTAATTTGATAATCATTTTATTTGTGATATCAATACAGTAATTGTGCTTTTTTTTTTTTATTATCTAAAGATAACATGATGAACTTTTCTCATCTGGAGTTAATGTTAAAAACAATTTGTTTTGAGATTAAAAACAAACATTTTCATGAACTTTTTTGGCATTGTACATGTTTGTTCAATTTTTAAACATGCATTGTTTCACACAGTACTCCATCATATTAACAAAAATGGTTTTATTTTCTATACAGTCATCAACATGGAAGCCATGTTTTGTTCCTAACCATCTATAATCCATTCTCTATGAAGTTCAGACTGTCTGCTCTTCCTTTGGAAATACACAGTTAGTCAACCAACAAAGAAACACACAAAACTTGAAGGTAAAGTTTCAATGAGATACAATTGTAATATATATTTATTTATTATTTTTTTATTTTTTTTTTTTTTTTACATATGCATGTTTATAATTTTGAATTGATATGTAAATGATATATTTAAATAAAAAGGGCTTGGTGGTCATGGTCATGTTTAGACTATATTGATCTCCTTTAGAAGAAGAAGAAGAGCTCCATTTCAATATATATACAAAAATGCATGATCAAATTTTGAAACTAAAATGTATGAAAGTTTTCTTTGCCAAATGATAGTTAACAGCTGAAGATAGCATATCTATAGAATAAGTTAAATATGGCTAATTTGTAACACCCCCCCCCCCCGCCCACCCAGCTTCCTTAATATCATAGTTGGTAAAGATAGCAAGTTTTGACTCCAATTGCTGATGAATTCTGAATTTCCCATTTAATATTAACATTATATCACAGGGAAAGAATACTATAATGTAGCACATCAGGATGACCAGAAAAGAAATCTTAATGACCCTCTTAACTATGTATAAAGACTGTAACCTTATAACTGATGTAAGATAATCTGATTGTGTGGAATTAAAATTCCCTGGTGTTTCTACTACCCAAGATCTTCTTATGAGTGCATGGGACTGTTGTAAACCTTCTCCTGTTTATAAAAAATATACCTTGGAGCATGACACTTTATTCATAAAAGGTACTTTCAATATCATTTCTATGAGTTTTTGTTCTTTCTTTTTAATAATCTAGTGTTATATCTCATTTAAACCCATTAATATGTATGCTTCCAAAATCTTAGATCTGTCTGTATAGTTTTTTCAGCTCTTTGAACACAAATACCCTGATTCAATCTTTTGAGGTAAACATGATAGAGACATCATAGATGATTATCAGAGTGTGTATCACAATCTTAACCATAAGGTCAATTTAAATGGTCTAAGGCACAACAAATGAAAGTGAAAACTTTTTTTTTTTTTAATTAGAATACATAATTTTGTAATAAACAAATACTGGAAAAGTTACTCTCATAATAAGCCTTAATGTCCTCCAAGAATTCAGTTTGGACTTCCTCCATTAATCCTTGTATCTTCTCCAATGGTTTTGTGGGTTTAAAATCATGTGTCTTTAACAACATTTTTTTTCTGACAACTGTTTTCTCTTATCATCTATAAACTTGACTTCTTCTCTAGTCAAAGGTCTTTCAGGGTAATCCAAGTAATTCTTACCCTCTTTTGGTAATAAATGGTTATATTCCTCATTGGCTTCTTCTGCAATCAAGGGTCTTTCTATGTAATCTCTGACAACATTAGGATCACCCTTCTCTGGACTTAATTGATTATATTCTTGTTGAGAAATGATCTCAATAGTGCCATCTTTTTTTTTATTTTAACTGGTATACCTCTGTCTATATCTTTCTCTGAAAGAACTCTCTTTCCAAACTGAATTTTACTCATTCCTTTACTCTTTTCTTTACTGGAGGTGTTACCCATGGTTAATATGAAAAAGTCAAAATCTTATGTTACAACTTGTATTTATACCCTTTTTTGTCTATATTTAGAATTCCATCAAGCTTATATTATATAACAATTTTTTTTTTTTCAACTAAGACTTTTTTTTTTATATTTTTCAGGATTCTCTAGTGAGGGCTTATGGAAATGATCTATGTCTACTCTCAGAATGGTGAAAGACTATCAGATTATGCAAAGACTAACAGAATATCCTCTCTTGGAACACTGAAACAAGAAAATCAAACAGGAGATGGATGGAGGATTTAAGAAGCACATAGATAAATATGATTTCCAACGAATTTAACCAGTATTATCATAGACTGTGGTTTACAGGATGACAAAGTAACAGGATTGTATCATTTTTACTGTCAGACACTGACTATGGATAAGATGTACCCATTTATTAAACTGAGATCTAGTCAAATCAAGTACAATTGTATTGAAAAAATGATTTTCTGATAGCATGAACTCTTTAAAAATTAATTCTCACAGACCTCAAAGTATCTGAATGTGACTTTTATTTTTACCAATTTCTATTGAAGACTGTTGTTATGTATGAGAAGTATACATTTAAACCTTTTATTTTTCATCTTATTTCTATAACCCCCTAGAAATTACACAGATATTCAGATGCTGGATTTAATATTATTATTTAACTTTCCTGGAATGGTAAATATATTTTGTTTGTGTATGTATCATTTTTTAATTTTGAATTTAAAATTGGTCTCAATAAGACCCCCAATAAAGATGCAAGTGTCCCATAATCTGTGGTTTAATAATATCTTGAATATCTTTATCATATCATATTCATCATACTAATTACATATTGAATGTTTGTAGGAATACACTTTGTTGTTTAGGACACTGTCAAGGTCAAAGCATAAGATTATTGAGATGACTTCTTTGACAATAATTTGTAACTTACAATGTTCACATCATAAGTACACAGATGAAGAATCAATAAGATTTTCTATAGATTTTTTGGATCATTTACTCCTGGGTAAAAGTTAGTTACTAACTGAGATTACTGATTTGAATCCTGTAATGCACAACTTAGACATTGTGTGATAACTTAAGACTTTATAAAAATTAGGTGCAAATTCTTAGGAAAGGATTGAAATGTTAATCAAATGTACAATGTTCAAAATTTATCATATCACTGTTTATATGACTAATTATGTTTTGAAATACCTTAGGGAAAAAAGTCAAAAAAATTTGGATATGACTTTTATTCAAATGGTGCAGTTACAGCAACTCTGGTGATTTACATACCTTCAGTCATAAATACATGTAGATAGGTATTTGGAAGACTCCTTTAGATTTTGAAATTTTTATTTCAAAAGTATAGAATTTAAGTTTGAAAGATTTAAAATGGCAGCATATCATTTGCTTGTGAATTAAAAAAATAAATCCAAACATATACATCTTTGGATGATAATTGTAGAATTTTATCAATTCCTGGACTTCGGTCTTGATATCATCCTTTAATGTCCTTAAAATTTTAATGACTGTCTTTTAGTTTTAGTTGAATTAGTTTCTTTTCTACATGTGAAAATGACATCATCCAAAGAAGTTCTTCATCTGCATGTTATATGAAGAAGACAATTTTCATCACAGTGAAAGAGATTGTTTTGTTAAACATATTGCATTGATGCACAAATATACTTTTAGATTTTTAATAGCTAGGGTTCATATTTCTTAATATGGAATGCTAAGTACTGTTGATTTCAATTTTTTTTTGTGAACAAAGACATACTAGTAGAAAAAAAAATGTACATGATGTGTTAGAAAAGCATGTGTAAACCTGATGACTTTATATTTGCTGATTAATTCAATTATGAGTTTCATCTTTGTTACATTGTAAACATTTCTAAGTAGGGCACACACCAGAAACTCTTAAAATTATTATATCAGGGTTTAACACAACAATTCCAAATGATTTTTTAGACGCTTTTCACGTATCAGAAAGACAAAACAGAATGTTTGTTCACAGATGTTCCAATGGAAAACAATCACAAAGAAATGATTTGTAATGTTCTTTATGTGATTCATGTAAAATGTATTTTAAAAGTGTACCCTAACATTTATCTCTTGCATTAATACATTTTTTGTTGAGAATTTCTCATAACTTTGAAAAAAGTAGTCTTATTGTATAATAGGGTTAGCTTAAAATCTTGTAGACTTAAAAGTTGTACATGATGTGTTACACATCTTACATATGTAACCATTTCATTTCAGGGTATTCAGCTATCTATTGTGATTTTGTCTTAAATTTGTTTGTTCCTGTAATCAATAATTTGCTAATACTCAAATTAGGAAATATATGAGAGAATAAACAAGAAAATCAGGTTTAAAAAATGTTTTTTACTACAAAGGGGTTAATCCATATATATTAAATTCAGTCTATACATTTAAGGTATTGGTTTATGAAATAAACTTACATATGAACATTGTAAGACAATTGTAATCATTAGTTTAACCAGTTTTTTTTTTTTAAAAAAATAAATAGATTCACTGTCAGCATGTTATTTCTTGTAAAATAAATGAGAAAACAATTTTATTTGAGTCAGTTTTTTTTAATGTAAATAAAAAAGCATTGGAAGTTGGGAATATTTCACAAAGTTAATTAATTTATACAAAATTTGTTATACATAAGTGAATAGAATTGGGCAGCAGGCAAAGCCTATTTGAGCCCTCTTTCTAAAGAGGGTAATTGAGCATAATTCTCACTAGGATAGTTGGAATATTTTGATTTAAGCATTAAAGAAACTATTTCATATTTCAATATACAAACCATATTTAGTCATGCAGTATATAGTTTACACTTGACAAAATGTAAACCTTATCTCTATTCAGGGTCAATCCAAAGGTCAAAAAGGAATGAAAAAAAAAATTTCTCTTTATGTATCAAACATGCAGGTATTATTGCAATAAATTCACTGTATTCATTTTTTGTTCTCTTTCTATGTATGAATAGCTCTGATTTAGGCAATCAAAGCAAATGAGTTATGTCAAATGATGAAGGTATACACAAGAAATTAACATGGACAGAGAATTTTGAGTTTCCCTCAAATATGGCTGCCAAGTGATGTGAAATAAAAACAAAATGTGGATTCATCTATTAGGATTGAAACTTGTACATAATATGAATGATGGACACTATGACATTAAGAATGACATGAAAGAAATAAGTTTGATTCAATTATATGAACAGCTCTTAATCCATACAGTCAAAATGGAGGAAAAAATTTTCTTTATTAGGCATAAAGTAACAAACACTCACCCAATGCATCAGAATTTTACTTTTTTGAAGAAAAGGAACCTTACTTACTTTGTTGAGTTGACATTCATATTTTTTGTGTTTGACAGGTAGAGCAATGGTTTCTAACTATTATAGTGAGAACTTTTTATTTAAGAGTCATCAGATTGTTCTGATATTTTGGTTAAAATAACTGCATGACATCAAATAATTTGTTCATACAAAGGACTAAAAGCTTTTCCAGGTTTCTTCTTTAGTCAGATTAGATTGTGTCTTGCTAATATATCCAACATATAAGATACTCATCAAAGTTACACAAAGGTAAATAAATGACCTTATTAAGTTTTTAGTCAAAAGGTCAAAGTGAGGAGGATATCTGCTATATTTAATTGTTTAGTTAATATTCATCAAACTTCATGGATAGGTTAATTAAACAAACTTCATATATTTTGATTTTCAGGTCAAAGATCAGCACATTTTTTGCTGTACCATTGTTGTCCATGAATATCTTAACACCTCTATTGGCTTTTCAGGTTAAAGGTCAATGTATTCCTGCTACAGTAAAAACTTCATTATAAGGATCTCATAGTGATATTCTTTATTTGTAAGGAATTAGATATAAAATCTCCCAACTCTTTCTATAATATATCACTGAATGTGCTCCTATATTTTTAGAGAGTTTTACAAGCAAAATCATATACTGACTTTCAATCCTTCAAAACACAATATGTATATTAAATCTTGAGATTCAGACTTTCAGACTTTTAGGAGACTTTTTCAATTTTAAAAACATTCAGACTTTCAATCTTTTAAAAACTTTCAATCTTGAGGACTGAGTATTTTTGATATTCATTTGATATGCCATGTCTTTTAAATCATTACCATTAATCCTTAGTCATTTAAACTTTTTTTCATATTTGTAAAACCAAAAGTGATGAAATACAGAGTTTGTGTAATCTTCTTCTTAATCTTTATCTAGAATTACTGATTTTAATACAGTCAAATGTAATTTTCTGATGATGGAAATTTCCAAAACTGTCTGACTTATACATATTTAAAGTTCACACTGTTGAATATCCATAAATATCAAAATATAATGATTCAGCATTAGCTATCATTCATACACTTGTTGAAATTCCTCATGCAATTTTGAAGAATCTCTGTTCTAAAGGATGGTAAAGACAAAAGATCCATACATTTCCAAGTAGTCATAATGTTTTAAAACTATATATATCCACATTAAATTAAGGAACATTGGACCCCCCCCCCCCTTTTTTTCCTTTATAACTCATGACATTTCATGTAGATAGTGGGTATGATGTGTAAAATAATCTTTTTATGAAAAGAGGATGGTGTAAAAGTTACTCTTACCCCACACCCAAGGGGAGTAGGGAAGGGGGTTGAATCCCTTTCTTTTTGTCCAAGGAAAACCTGAATTTTAAAGTTTAAACATAAGTTATCAAATGAATTAAATTAATAAAATTAATTTATTTTCTAAAAGTTTCTTTTTTAAATCTGAACATTTAAATTTTTTTTCCTTTTGATTACCAGACTGTCTAATAGGTGAACTGTATAAAACTGAATACAGATCATTTTAAAGTCTTGCATTTTTTATGGCAAATCATTAAATAATGGGATAATATATATATATATATATATATAAACCTCACCCATACATAAACAGGAGTGAAACTGAAAAGCCATGCAGGTTTGCATTCTTAATCTTATTTTTTGTTTACTATATGTATGACTTGTACCACTCCAATTGAATAAATAAATAAATTAAAAAAAAAAATAGGCTTTCCTCTCCTTAAGTTTTCTGTAACCATTAGCACACTCTCAAAAAAACAGCACCTTTTAGAAAAAAAATTATGGCTTTTTTTTTTTCCTGTTTTTATGTTAGACAGACTTATTTTCTATGAAACTGTGTTCATGTGAAATTGAATCCTTTTGACCTTATATACCTTAAAATTGAAGAAGTAAAAAAAAAATTATACCTGTTTTAAATGGATGACCATGTTCAGTGAGATACTTTAGTGAGATACTTTAGCAACAAAAATACAGGACCTGTGACCCTTCTATTTATAACAACACTTCTTTTTAAAAAATTCAAAAATTTATTCAATGATTTACACTTCTATTTCTTCTGATGATGATCGGTCCTCAATCAGTCGCGTCAACACCCCAGGTCCTTTGTTTTCCATCGAGTCTTTAATTTGGGAAAAAGGGATGCGACAATACACGTACTCTGTAGGACAATAATGAGGTGGAAACGTCAGTCCTTTTTTCTCCATCTTGATATAATATTTCAGACAATCTCCAATGTCCGAGAACCATGAACTTTCATTCCGAATGGTGTTGATGGGTGTCAGAAGATTCCTTTGAGTACAAGTAACCCATTTGTATTGCTGATAATGTTGGTTGATTTTCACCCTCACTTTAGATCCTGTTAGAGGTGGGATTTTCATTCTTTTTTCCAACCACACATTGTCCAGGGAATAGCCTGGATGATTTTCATAGAAATCCATGATGGCTCCTATTTTAGTTTTCATCCAGTCTCCTTGCATGTACATACACTGACTAATGGGACTCTCACAATACCAACGATACTGCATCTTTGGGAAAAAACACGTCTGACT